TTTGCCCATTTGTTTCTGCCCTGTTTGTTTGATATCATTTGTTTGATAGACACACCTCTCACAGGTCTCAGCTACCAACCAGAGGAAAACACTTTCATGTTGTTAAATACTGACCACATATATACCGATTTCTATCCTCTTTCTTATCATTCGTTACTAAAACATTTGCTGAACATATTGAGCTGTAGTATATCATTATACAGAGCTCTCTTTATTTCATTATACACAACTCCCATTTATCATTGTACAGACATTCATTGCTCAGTTTAAAGGTTTCACATTACTCATTATACAAATCTTTAATTTATCCCTTTCCAGATCTGTACAGAGATTTCGTTACCTGTCATTGTACATTATACACAGTTGACATTATTATCAATATACACAGCTCTTATTACTCACTATGCTGCGATCTCATTACTCATTATAACGAGCAGCCATTGCTCATTTTATAGAGCTCGCATTACTCATTATTCAGATATTTCATTACTCATTATACATAGATGTATTTGATCATTATTCAGAAATTTAATTGAGAAAAATCGTTTCACAAAGCTCTTATTGTTCAGTATTTAGAGCTCCCATATCTTAGTATTTAGAGCTCCCATATCTTAGTATTTAGAGCTCTCATTGCTCAGTACGAAGAGCTCTAATTGCTCAGTATTTAGAGCTCTCATTGCTCAGTATTTAGAGCTCTCATTGCTCAGTATTTAGAGCTCACATTGCTTAGTGTTTAGAGCTCTCATTGCCCAGTATTTAGAGCTCTCATTGCTCAGTATTTAGAGCTCTCTTTGCTCAGTATTTAGAGCTCACATTGCTCAGTATTTAGAGCTCCTATAGCCCTGTATTTAGAGTTCCCATTACTCAGTATTTAGAGCTCACATTACTCAGTATTTAGAGCTCACATTGCTCAGTATTTAGAGCTCACATTGCCCTATATTTAGAGCACCCATTGCTCAATATTCAGAACATTAGTGGCTGAAGTGGATTGTGGTCCACATTATTGGCAACGGGGTTCTGAAGAGCAGCATTATAAAAGGAGGTGGATGAGGTGCAGCATTAGTAGCGATGGTGGACTAGAAGCAGTAATAGTTGCGGTGATGAATGAGAGGCAGTTACCACTTACGTGCTATTCATGCCCGTGCCACCTCTTTGGTGGCTTAATCTATATCAATCAATCAATCAATCGAGAGGCAGTATTAGTAACGGAGGGTGGAATAGGGGACGCATTAGTAACGTGAGGCAGCATTAATGGCCGGGGTGGATGATAGACAGCATTAGCAGCGATAGGATGGAGGAGGCATTAATGTCGGTGAAGTTGTTGTTGTTAAAGATTCGCTACCTGGAACAGTTCCAAGTAGCACGGGCTATGGTGAGCCCGTAGTGCCTTTGTCGGTGGAGGCATGACTCTCACGCGAGGCTCTCCCTCTGGGCTTCCTCCCCTTACTAATTATCACCTCACCACCACCAGCACAAACCACAATGCAGCCTAGTTATTTGCCGGACTAAATTACCCAGCCAGCTTATCTCCGTCTGTGATTGGTGGACTGAGCTGGTGTGGACGGGCGAGGCTCCCTCGGGACATCTTCCACAAGAGGCGGTGTTGAAATAATGAGTATTGGGTACGGTGTTGGCGACATGTTTGTTGCCTTAGTGAAGGATAAATATTGACACATTGAAGGCATGGAAATGTGTGTGTGTTTGTGTGTGTGTGTGTGTGTGTGTGTGTGTGTGTGTGTGTGTGTGTGTGTGTGTGTGTGTGTGTGTACTCACGTAGTTGTACTCACCTAGTTGTGCTTGCAGGGGTTGAACTTTGGCTCTTTGGTCCCGCCTCTCAACTGTCAATCAACAGGTGTACAGGTTCCTGAGCCTATCGGGCTCTATCATATCTACACTTGAAACTGTGCATGGAGTCAGCCTCCACCACATCACTTCCTAATGCATTCCATTTGTCAACCACTCTGACACTAAAAAAGTTCTTTCTAATATCTCTGTGGCTCATTTGGGTACTCAGTTTCCACCTGTGTCCCTTAGTGCATGTTCCCCTTGTGTTAAATAGACTGTCTTTATCTACCCTATCAATTCCCTTCAGAATCTTGAATGTGGTGATCATGTCCCCTCTAACTCTTCTGTCTTCCAGCGAAGTGAGGTTTAATTCCCGTAGTCTCTCCACGTAGCTCATACCTCTCAGCTCGGGTACTAGTCTGGTGGCAAACCTTTGAACCTTTTCCAGTTTAGTCTTATCCTTGACTAGATATGGACTCCATGCTGGGGCTGCATACTCCAGGATTGGCCTGACATATGTGGTATAAAAAGTTCTGAATGTTTCTTTACACAAGTTTCTGAATGCCGTTCGTATGTTGGATAGCCTGGCATATGCCGCTGATGTTATCCGCTTGATATGTGCTGCAGGAGACAGGTCTGGCGTGATATCAACCCCCAAGTCTTTTTCCTTCTCTGACTCCTGAAGAATTTACTCTCCCAGATGATACCTTGTATC